AATATTACGGCGATATTGGGAGAGACTATAATAGACGCAAGGAAAGAGAAGCCCAGACGGGTGGCTAGAGGCCTGGGGCTCGAAGCTGCTTACACCGACACTCGGAAACAGATAAAGGAGCAGGGTGAGAATCAGTCGAAACTTGCCATGCGAACATTGATCTGGGTTCCTCGATCTGAGCGCCCATTACGAGTCGATGAGCTTTCCCATGCCCTGGCAGTGGAAACCGGGTCTATCCATCATAATCCCGATGAAGCTCTATTGATTCGGACCCTATTAGGCTACTGCCTAGGAGTTATCGCTTTTGACAGGGAAGCTTCGTCTGTGCGACTGAGACACTTTACCTTCCTGGACTATTTATACGAACATTCGACCATTTTCACGAGTCCTGATGGAACCACCGCAGAAGTGTGTCCGACCTGTCTCAACCTCTGGCCCATCAAGGACCTATCGGCCACCACCTCCGGAGATATGATGAAAACTCCATTTCTTGAATACGCATCTCATGACTGGAGGACCCGCGCCCGAATGGAAACCACAAGTACGGGAAAATCGCTTGCGGTCAAACTTCGCAATCAATATGATACCCACATATCGGCTAGGCTGCTCCTTTCAAAGATATACTGTGAGAAGGGATGGTTTTGGGACGGGTATGCGGCTCAATCTGCGGGATATACTGGACTGCACGCCATAATATTCATCGAAATTAGAGAGATCGCAACCCCATTACTGAAGGTCAAAGATTGGGGAAGAAACGGAAAAGATTTCGCCGGCCGTACACCATTTACATGGGTTGCTATGAGTGGGAGTTCTCAGGTGGTGGATATGTTATTGGGTCTAAGAGGAGTGAGCGCCAAGGAGAAAGACAATGAAGGACGAACAGCACTCTCGTGGACCGCCTGGAATGGCGGCCGGTGGATAGTCCGAATACTCATGAAAAGCGAGTCGACCACTTCCCGCATTACGAATAACAACGGCCGAACGCCACTTCTTTGGGCGGCGCAGAGCGGGAAAGAGGATATAATAAAGTTTTTTTTGGAAAAGGATGTGGATATCGATTGGGTGGACAACCTCGGCCAGACACGGCTCATATATGCGGCCGGAAATGGGCACTCGGGGGTAGTAAGGATTTTACTGCAGAAGAAAAGGGCCAAAAAGGACACCGCAGACACCAACAATGGAACACCACTCTCGTGGGCAACTGGTGGAGGGCTTGAGGGCGTAGTGATGTTGCTAGTCGAGCGGAAGGAGGTCAACCCCAATGCGACGGATATCCGATACGGCAGAACGCTGCAATCTTGGGCGGCCGGCAATGGGTACGAGCAACTAATCAAATTAGTGCTCGCGCATCGTGAGATCATTCCAGAACTGGTAGACGAAGGAGGCCGAATACTATACTCGCGGGCAGCCAAGTACGGGGACCGGGGCATCGTGAAGATGCTATTGGGACGGGAACAGGTCAATCCGATGACTAGCGGTCACAATAGACTGACGCCAATTTCGTGGGCTACCGAGCACTGGCGCGGAGAATCTTGCATATCGCAGTTAGAGGAAGCCGGTTCCAGTCCCGATTTACCCGATTGCAATGGCCTCTCACTCCTCTCCCGGGCCACTGGCTGCGGGAATATCCGTCGTGCGGAATACTTGCCGTGGAGCAAAGAGGTTAACCCTGATTGCCGGGACGAAAATGGGCGAATGCCACTCTCGCGGGTTGCTCAAGGCCGTAACGAGGATATGGTACCGTTGCTTCTGGAATGTGAGAGTTCCGACCCTAATTGCCGAGACAAGGATGGCCAAACACCGATCTGGTGGGCTGTAGAAAAGGGGAGCTATGGGGTAGTGCCACTACTCTCAGAACGAACTGATGTTGATCCCGTTCTGCATGACGAAAATGGTCAAGAAACGCTTGGGTGGGCTTGCGGGCTTATTTCCCCTGGTCTTACGAGGTTTCTAGCAGGACGAACAGATGTTGATCCCAATTTGGCTAATAAATATGGCCGAACACCGCTCTGGCGGGCCGCAGCATTTGGGTGCACGGGGGCAGTACAGCTCTTCATGGCGAGAGCTGATGTTGATCCCAATTATGCCGACGACGGTGGGCAAACACCGCTCTTGTGGGCCACCGAAAACGGAAGATCCGAAGCAGTTCAGCTCCTCTTGGAAAGGGCCGATGTTGATCCTAATTTGGCCGATCATAATGGGCGAAGACCGCTCGTGTGGGCCGCAATAATGGGGAGAACAGGAGAAGTACAGCTCTTCCTGGAAAGAGACGACGTTGATCCCAATTTGGGCAACCGTCTCAGGCAAACACCGCTCGCGTGCGCCGCGGCAAAAGGGAAAACCGGAGCAGTTCGGCTCCTCTTGGAAAGAGCCGATGTTGACCCTAATTTGGCCGACGATAATGGGCGAACACCGCTCCTGTGGGCCGTAGATCATAGGAGAACAGAGGCACTTCAGCTCCTATTAGAAAGGGCAGATGTTGATCCCAATTTGGCCGACAGTGATGGGCGAACACCGCTCCTCTGGGCCGCGGAAAAGGGGAGGACAGAAGAACTTCAGCTGCTCCTGGAAAGAGCCGATCTTGATCCTAATTTAGCTGACAGTAAAGGGCGGACACCGCTCTCGTGGGCCGTGCAACCAGGGAGAACCGACGCAGTTCAGCTCCTCTTGGAAAGAGCCGATGTTGATCCCAATTTGGCCGACAATTCTGGGCGAACGCCGCTCCGGTGGGCTGTAAGCGGATGGAACACCAAAGCAGTTCAGCATCTCCTGGAAAGAGCAATTGTTGATCCCAATTTGGCCGACAGTGATGGGCAAACACCGCTCCT